GACATTAATTACAAAGCATTCTTCCATGCAACAGACTACCAAAGTGCTCAATCTATCAGTAAGAATGGAATTAAGCTCAATTATTGCAGAGTCAACCTCGACTTTGGGGCCTCTACTAGCTTTTACCTGAACCCATCATTTGATAATGCAATCGACTTCATTAAGGGGCGCGAAGGATTTTACGGAATTGTTGTATATTGGGTTGATATGGAAAAAGTAAAAAGCATGGTATATCGGGATTCAATTTCGGATGAGAATTTATGGAGAGAGGTGGTGGTTGCATCAAGGTGTGGACAATATTCAGCGGTAGATGAAGATGATTTTGTTTACGGATATCAGTTATCGAATGCAAGAGAAATCCTCACTGCATACGGTAGACCAGATGATAATGAGGATTCATGGCAGGATCTCATTCCCAGAGCCAGATGGTTTGAGCTTATTCGCCATCTTCAGCTTGCAGTTAAGACTTATAAAGCAGTAAGGATTATGAACAGTTGTTATGTTGGGACTATTTATTTTCATTCAAAAGAAAATCAATAAGTAAATAGAATTAAAAAAACCATCTTGAAAGTGAGTAAGGACTTATGAATTAAAGGTTACGAACAGCCAATTTGTTATTTTCATTCAAAATAAATAAATAAAATCAAAGACCTTTTCGAAAGTGAATCAGCGTGTAACCCCAATCTATTGTACTAGGCGGAACATAGTCATCCAAGGATCACTGATATATTGTACATTGCAAATATGAAACACTGCCTATACATTCACTGCCTATACATTCACTGCCTATACATTCACTGCCTATACATTCACACAGTTAAGTATGTAAATGCCATTACTTCATAATAGAATAAGGTGGATTAACAAATACTTTATTAATGATATGTTGTTTTTCGATACTCAACAAAGCTTTCGCGTGATACGACACGCAGTACGTATTCTTTGAAATCTGGCTTACTGCATTAATTCTATCCCAACTTAATTTTGTATATAATATCCGAAACAGTACCCGTCGCTTCGATGTGAAGGATTGTTTAATGTATGAAAATACTATCTATTTACGGCGTCTATCGCCTGTGTACAGCAATTTGATCGTCTAGTTGTTCAAGATGGATCAAGGTTCGATCATCCATATCCGTAATACTGTACACTCCGGTTTCACAACGTGACGAAATCCAAATCAATCTGTCGAGCGAACTAAAATTATCTCGTGCGGATGCAATCAACAGTTTTTTTTCTTTTCGAGTATAACGTACAGAAGCCAGAATAAGATTGTTCTGATTACCCCGAATATCCATGGTATGTTGAAACTTTTTCCACCGCAGTCTTAGGTGTTCGCGAACGCCCATTCTTCATAGTGACTCCTCCATTCCTAACCAACGACCGAAGGCAATCCATAAAGGTTTTTCTTACTAGAGGCAGTCACAAGGTGGGTTTCACACGTAGATAATAAATCAACCTTGCTAATAATATCGGCATCAAACATCAGAAAATCGGAGGGAATATTAAGCGTCCCGAATGCGTCAGTGTCGCTAGATCTTGCTTCTCGGATTAATGCTTCTATTAAGTAGTTATATCGTCTCGCATTTTTTCTTCTTTGAATGATACCCGGTCTGAGGCACAGAGAGGGATACTCGACCACTCGTTTTCGACGTAATATGTCTTATCGGAAGTGCATAACCCTCGAGTTGCGAATTGGGTCCGGTGCTAAAAATAATCTATTAAGCTTAGTGATAAGTTTCTAATTCGTACACAAAGTAGGTAAATAATATTGCATATTTTATGGAATAGATGAGCAAAGCACTAAGCTACCATCTCAATTTAAAATGGCGATTGCGCGCCTATTGCACCCACAACTTACGGAAGCAACTCGTAACTATAACTCGGTAATGTGCCGCAATATAACGAAAAATGTCTAATAAAATTAGGCATGGCTAATATATGGCACGTTAACTTCCTGTTTGCGAGATATCTTTGCCTGCTTCTTTTCCCACTTTAGCCTTTTCTTTTTATTATAACGAGCACATCGCAATAACTTCGTCTTCTTAGCCTGTGTTTTCTCTAACGTTACGGCTCCTTCCCGTTTGTTAACGGACAAAAGTTTACGATTATTCACGGTATATTATTAATAGGAAAAAACGTATAAAAGCAACACTATTCGACGAGTCGATAGAATTATATAATCCTAGAGCCGAGTCTTGCTCAAGAAGAATGGCGTTCACTTTCGCGGAACAGAAAGCCAAAAGTATATCATACTCACGTTACTCGCATTCATTCATACTAAATTCAATATAGGTAAAATTTCATATATGCTGTGTAATACCTCTTATCTGAAAAAAGAATGACCTTTAGGTCTAATTGCTTTATTGTGAATAGCGAGATGTGACTAGATACATGTGAATCTTCTGTGAGATTGCTCGACGACTTATGTTTTTTATTACTTTCGATTGCTCTCCGCCATGTGAAGCTTCCACTGGTTTTGATAGTTTGAATCTCGGCCTTTCCAACTCATCGAGCGAACATTCCATAAAATACCATTCTTTCGCATCCGTAATAATTCCGAATACCTTACCCACAAATACCCCCTCCTCTATCTCACTTGCTTTACGCTTACAGTTTGATAAGGCCGATTCAAGTTGTACGGCATTCTGAACAATGCCCTTATAAAAATCTTCGTCCTTCTGTTACCGACAGTTTTGGCGGTTTGGAGTAAGTCTATTCGAATAATGGATTAAGTGATATTTGTGAAAATCGGATATGCAGACCCTATGGACATTTACATAAGTTACACAATTAAATCATGCGTGTAGTGCTATTTTTCCGGGACCGCGAGGTCTCGCAAATTTCTTGATATTTTCATTACCAAATACATTTAGGTCAATGATATTAGAAACAGCAATGCATAATTAAAAAGGTCAAATCATATCTTTATTATTTTTGTAAAAGAGTAAGGGACCGGCTAACATGAATACTTAAACTGTTCCCGGATTACAGAAATGATATTCGCAAATCTTTGGCTTGAGTTTGAGGAATTTGATAACGAGCAGAAGATGACGAATGCTTGCTTTGTTGGTTTGATGAATGAGCAGAAGATGATTAAACCTCGCTTTGCTGGCCTGACGAACAAGCAGAAGATGATGAAGCCTCACTTTGCTGGTCAGATCCTCTCCTATTAGTACTCTGGAACAAGGGAGTATCTTTGATTCATTTCACCTCGAAGTTTTGATAGAAGCATTGATTGTTGTGAATCCAAACGCAATTATACCAAAATTATTATGATAGGTTTGAATGGCTTGTTTGATTTCATCGAGTCTTGCAATTGAAGTATTAAGTAACGCCAAGATTCTTTGACCCTCCTCAGTAAGCTTTTCATCACGTGAGGTAAGTTCAGCGGTGAATTGAGAATCGCGTGTTTGGATTTCTTGGACGAGCTGTTATTTGACGGCTTGTATTACATACCAGACACCAGCAAAGAGCATGAGAAATATTGTATCTGAAAAATTGATTTAAGACATTTTTTGCTTGTAGAATTGATTTTTGTCTTTGCTATTATGCTCGATTTATAAACAGAGCTGATGCAATGTGGCAAGTTTTATTTTTGCTTTTTTGTATGCAATGCGAGTAGGAAGAGATAACAGCAAAAAAAAATTTTCTTGATCATATCAAAGCTCACATTGATTTTTACAGCTGTGGTCTATACTTAGGGGTTAACAAAACCTGGATGTATAATATCATCCTCACATTTTTCGGACCTATTATTCGAAAGAATTTTTATTTTAGTTAAACTAGCATTTAAGCTGGATAAACAAAGTCGGTAACTGATCCACTGATGTGAGTATCTTTATTAATTAAAATAAATTACAATGAAAATTAATCTTCTACGTTAATATAAAGATTATTAGCGAAGCTCCGTTAAAGTTATTGCTGTCTATCCATATAAGGAGCCAGAAAAATAGCATTATTAAATGGTTAATAAATCATATCTGAGTACAAAAAAAAAATAAGTGGATAGTGTTTGTTTTATTTCTTAACCTCTCGTTCGTGGCGCAGTACAGACAACCATCTGGCATCAAGTGTCGATCACATAGAATTACAAATGAGCTGTGGAATATAAGAAGGGTATTTATAAAAATTTCTAACAATAAGTGCATGAATATTTTTCCTAAAAATTAACCATCTAAGGAATATTGTCCGATATTTTGATCCTCAAGGGTAATGGGTGTTATAAATTTCCATCTGGTTGATTAGTATTTTTTGCTGAAAAAAGAAAAAAAAATTCATTTATTTATTCTGAGATGGATCTGTGAATTTATTACAATTTTCATTTTTGTTCCATTCTAATATTAGGCTCTTCTCGCATTATATGAAAATCTGAGATACTTTTTTTATCGGACTTACCGAAGGCACTTACATAATGCATTAATCAAAGGCTTATGAGTTTAAACTTGTGGCGTGATACATGATGCATGTATTAGAAGTTTTGTACGGTCAACTCTCGATAAAAGAAACTGTGTAAAATAGTTTATATATATTATGATCGATTGAAGTAGTTATGATAATCAAAAATTTTCCGGGTCCCGGTTTACTCGATAAAAGAAAATCTGATGCATGGGGGTTTTCGAAAAAATCCGAAATTTTTTTAAACGTAAAAGTGACTACATAATAAATTTTCTATTTTATAAGCATATATGCTTTTGTGTACTAAGTAAGTATAATATAGACAACTAAGTATATATACAATGAAAGTTTTACCAATTTTAAAGAACATTTTATTAATAACATTTAGGGTTTACATTTCATGCAATGATTTTTTTGATTTTGATTCTAATTTTAATATTTATCTTATTTCTAAAACTAGTGTCTTAACAAACAATCTATAATTAATAAATATTGTTTATTATATTTTAAACTATTTGTGTATTGAATTTTATAAATTTATATTGAATATTTAAAAAAAATATTTTAATAAATAAAATTGTTACTATCATTAAATTAAATTTCAAAATTTTTATTACTAATTTATAATTATAATTTCTTATAAATGTTTTTATTTTATTATGTAAATTAATCTTAATAGAGTAAGTAAACTTATGTTTTATAATAAATTCTATCTATAATGACAACTATTTTTTAAAAATTTTAATAAAATTATTATATTATAATATGTGATTTTAAATTAATATAAATTATTAAATTATAAATGATGCAATTTTATTTAAAGTTGATAAAAGTTTTCTAAATGTAGAATTTGCCATTAGAAATATATTTACTTAATTAACCAATGTTATATTAGATAGTAAAATCAAATGTTTTATATAACAAATCAATTATAAAATATAATTGGTTTAAAATTTATTAAAATTTATAATTTATATAATATTTGTTTGTTGTCTGAAGCAAAGCGAAAGACATTCTATGTTTATGATTCTTGATGAAAATAGAGATCATATGTGGATTCTGTCCATTATGCTTGTATAATGAATGGTTTTTTTTTTTACTGTTAAGTGAGATATTTCTCATAATCTTTATTAATAAAGTAA